CTAGTTGGACCAGTGTTCCCTCATCTTGTCAAGGAATTATGAATTCATTCTATTGCTTCTCCAAAGGTCATCCTTTCATTCGTCATGGGCAAAGAGATTTCCATCACTGAGAATCTCATAAGGAGGCTTCTAGGCTTTGAAGGAAATGGTGTTACTGGAATCTCAAGTGGAAGAATGGATATGTCCAAAGTTTATGCTGAAATTTTTACTATTGGGCGAGCTTCCAACAAGGTCAGAGATTTGAAGAACAAATATAAAATCTAGGCAAGAATCATTCATGGCTGCATTCATCACAGGAAGGAAACCAGTTCTCCTAACTACATCAATGCTGACCAACAATATCTTCTGTTCTGTCTTGGCACAAATGTGAAACTTGATCTTCCCTATCTTCTGTTCAACCATCTCTGGACGCATGTGAAGGAAACCAGGGAAGCTGAGAGGGTCAAAAACCCTAAGTCAAAAAGAAACTGGATCCCTCTGGGAAGATTAATCTCATACATTCTGACAGAGAATGGTATGATAGCTCATTTAGAAGACGCCAACTTTCTTGGAGAATTGGAGCCCGTGTGTGGAAAAGCTCTAACTGGGAAGAACCTTCTAAAAAGGAAGCTGATTGACAAACTTCTGGTGGATCCTACTCCCTATGTGTCAGCAGCTGTCACCGGAAGGAGAGTCTCTGTAGAAGATTTTCCTCTCTTCAACTCTGGTGACCATCTTGAGATCATTCTGCATTTCATTGAAGCTTGCAAGGAGAGTGGCATTCCCATTGACCCTGCATGGCTTCAAGGAAGGAATGTACCTGCTCCAGAAGTTTTTCTCCAGAAGCAGAAGAAAAGGCAAGCTGGAGAAGGTCCCTTTGCTCGTCCTCAGAAGAAGAAGAATAAATCTTCAGGTATGTCCACTGAAACAATCTCTGTTTGTTATTTTGTACGTATAACACCATCTGTTGAACCCCAAACTCTAGGAGATATAGAAGTAGACATAGACCTCACCATCCCCTCTGAACCCCTCCAAAATAACCCTCAAATTGATCAGGTTCTATCTGACATAGACAATTTTGATACTGTAGTCCCTACACAATCTCAACCTCAACCACCACTCTCTTCACATATATCTTAACCTGACACATCTACTTCTACCCCCCATCAACAAAATCCAAATACTCCTGCTGAAAACCCTCTTCCAACATCCCCCATCAGACCTTTATCCCCAAGATTCTCTAAGTGGTATGATGGTTCTTGGAGATTACCAGGAATAAATGTGCCTCTGGCCACACAACCTTCATCCTTCATCATTCCCTCTGAAAACATTTTTGCTGTGAATGAATCCCCTGCACCTTTTCCTTCTTCCTCAGCCCAAACCACCATCATCATCTCTCCTGACACACCCCTCATACATCACCAAGAATTCCCACACCTACATCACCAGAACCCTCATCACCTCACTCTCTAGAACCAACCTTTAGTCCATCCTCATCAGAACCTCCTGAACCATCTGAACCCTTTGACTTTCTTAGGACTGTAGTTGACCCTGAAGCTCTACGTTATCTACAAATAAAATCCACCAAGGCTATTCCCAAACCAACCCCAAAACCTGTTCAGTCAGATGTTACTGTATGTTTTCAGAATTTTGCAGCAGAAATGTAGACGTGGATAGACTTGCTGAAGGCAAACAGTGCCAGCAACCTGGACCCAGCTGCATGTGATTTTATGTGAGAAGCATTCAGAAGGAAATTCAATGATGAAACCTTCAATTTGCAAGATCTGTGCTATTCTCAGGTTCTTGAGAATTTCACCCAGTATCTGAATGCCTTCAAGATAGAAGTGGTAAATATCTGGGATAAAAAGTCTCCACTGCAGATTACCAACGCTCCATTACCACTTGCTGACCACATGGAAATTTCAGAAGATGAATCTGAAGATGGCTGAGTCAGATCCCAATCCCTTGGCAATGACTTTGTATTACCAACCTTCTGCTAAAGCTGCATATGAGAAAGTGCCAACTCTTCTGATTGATCTTGGCACCCTCCTCTCCAATGTTGTAGGCTCAGGCTTCGCTGCTTCTGCTCCAAAGATTGTATCTTCTGAAGCTGCTTCAACATCTGCTCCCTCTTCGCTGGTGATGGATACTCTGAATAAACTAAAGAAGGAAAATGAAGCTATCCATGAACGTTTGGACAAACAGGATGAAACCAACAAGGAAATCAGAACTTGGATGATGAAACAAGAGTAATCCTCAAATGAAATCAAGAATCTTCTTATTTCTCTTGTCTCTCGTCAATCTTTGTTTTAAATTTTTTCAATTTTCTTGTTGTTTTTGTTTTGTACCTTTGTCTTTTGAATCTTCAATATACACACATTTTGAATCTTTTTTTTTTTTTACTTTTTGATTATGACAAAAAGGGAGAGAAAATAAGATTTTGATCTGATCCATGTTAACAGTTATGAGACTAAGTCTCAAACATTTCTAACAAAATACAAAGCTCTTTTCTGTTTAAGAGATATGCAGATACCTCAAGACTCTGAAAGACTAAGCTTTGAACATCATCTGGAAAAGAACTGCTAAAGAAACTCTGAAAGAAAAACGTCTCAAATCTCTAAAGAACAAATCTCAAGAAGTTTCTCTTATGCTTTTAAACTCTTTGATTTTTTTTCCAGAAGAAGAAATATCAATCTCAGGGGGAGATTCTCACTCTTGCACAAATTTTTTTTCAAAATCTAAATTGTTTTTGTCATCATCAAAAAGGGGGGAGATTGTTAGAACAAAGTTTGGTTCTAATCATATCTTAGAGTTTTGATGATAACAATGAAATAAATTTTGTAAAATATATTTTATATTCTGATGTGTACGTTCTCTAAACTCAGATGATATTCTGACTCATGCATATCAAAAGAGAAACATCATTCTACGCAAGTCTAAAACAAACTCTGATGGAAGCACTCCAAGGCAAACTCTGATGGAAAAGCTAGCTGAAGCAAAGATTTGAAATAAGCACGCTGAAAGCAACATCTGATAATGCAAGCTGAAGCAAACTCTGATGAACATAAAATAAAGAATACTCTGATAGAAGAAAAGTTAAAGTAAACTCTGAAGTGGCAACGCTGCAAGCAAACTCTTAAACTTTCAGAGACAAGCTCTAACAGTATCGTTGGTCATTTAATGCTAAGACGGCTAAGGTACTCAAATGGTACTACGCACGAGAACATTGGAAACATAAAGACTAAGCCAACACACATCATTAATGCATACACTCTCTTCAAGGCAGTAACAGTCAAGACTGGAAGCTATATATAGAAGATCATTTGTTTCAAAGAAAGGTTACTGATCCACGAGAAACATACTAACGCTCACTGTTTTCGTTCTTGTAAACTAATATTGTATAGTGGGTAAATCTTAAGTATTGGGCAACAATCTTAGTGATAAATCAGAGTTTGTGATACAGCTTATTAGAAGCAATCTGATTCACTACTGTTAAGGAATAATTTTTTGTAAGTGTTCCTTGAGAGACCAGTTGGGTCAAATTTCTCAAGAGGGCTAGGACTAGTTGAGTCTTAGAGGTATTAGTCACTTGCAGTTTTAAATCCTCGTTGAGAGAGACTAAATCACCTTGACGGGTGAACTAGAGTAGTTGAGTTTCAAACGAACCAGGATAAAAATACACGTGTCCTTCCATTAATATTGCGCGAAAAAAAAAAAAAACTTATTCAACCTCCCCCTTCTAAATGTTTTCTCATCCTTCAAGAGAGAAAGAGAGAGATGCACGACTGAAAAGGGATATACAAGAAAATGAATGGTGGGAAAAAGGAAGAAGTGTGAAATAAATGATTAATAGTAATTGTGATATGTCATATTTATGGGTATCTATATAAGTATATTTTGTTGACCAATTTCATTGGTCATAGAATAATGATTAGACAATACAAGAGTATAAACTTGTTACTCACTTGTCTTAATTTATAAGACACTTTAGAAAAAAATATGTCTTAAATTATAAATTATTTTACAATTTCAATGTAACATTAATATATATATATATATATATATATATATATATATATATATATATATATATATATATATATATATATATATATATATATATATATATATATATATATTTTTAATATATTCTTTATTATTTATTTTTTCTTAATTTATATAAAATATTCCAAACGTCTTATAATTTAGATTAGAGTGAGTATTAATTATGTCGAAAAAAGAAACAATATGTTTCATGGTAAAGTTTAGGTCTGGAAGAATCAATTTTCAATACTGTGAGTTCGATCAAATAAATTCGCAATAACTCATACCCATATAAATCCGACCGAATAGGCCAAAATTTAATCGGATAGGGTGGATTGGAGATAGGGCGGATAGTCCGAATAATTATTTGGATAGCTGCATATTACCGTTTTAGTGTCCCATCTACATGTGGGCTACTATTTCTTGCATCAATTAATTTTTGTTTTCATTTCTGAACACTGCACGAGCAGTTTTTGGACAAAAAACATGAGCTGTTATGCACCAAAAGTGGTCCTCTCTCTTAGCATCTTATATCCAATAATATCACAAACTAAAATCTTCTCTCCTAGTGCATAAACATGGAATCCTACTCATCAATATTTTCCATCTGAAACTTCATTTTTTTTAATAGAGATTGATTTCCAAATACACATGCACGGCATAGAATCTTCTTTAAAATTAAGAGAAATTGGGGTAACATTTCTATGTAGTAATCTACTAATTTAAACCCCAAAATTATAAAGGGTAAAATAGGGAAAAGCTAAAAACTATAGAACGAAACACACACGGTCTGTGTTGAGGTATATTCATAACATGACAACATAAGACCCAGCGTGAAAAATAGAAGAAGATAAAACTTTTCCCAACGAAATAAAAAAAAAAGGCACAGATAAATATAGACCGTTAGATCTTTCGGACATGATTTCTGACTAACTATTACGAAAGATGAGAGACAACGTTAAATCTGTGTTCGTGTTCTAAACAGGAACAAACGGCGGCACCATCGGAGCTGGCTCGTAGCAGAAAGGCGCTGCCGGGTGCTGCCAGTTTTTGAAAGTAACAACATCCTTCTCCGGCTCGGCGGTTGATCCTTGATGGCGCTGAGATGGATCCGGTTGCGGTGGCGGCGAAGATGCTAACGGAGAAAGGAGAGGGATGGCGACGTTCCAATCGAGGGGGCGGTTGATTTGTAAGGAGGAGGGAGCTCGTTTCTGTAAACGGCTTGTTTGGTTTAGGGTGTTGGTTCGGTTTCTCTGGGGATCTGCCATAAGAGGTTTAGGTTTATTGGGGGAGAAAGAAGATGGGAAGAAGAAAAAGAGTGGTTGTTTGGTGGTTATGTTGTAGGGAAGGTTTATATATAAAAAAATGGGCGAGGGTGTGGGCGTGGGCGTGAGGTGCACACGTTTGGATTCGGGAGTTGTGAAAGGTTTGGTCAGGTCATTCTCTTGTTCAAAGTTGGCTCCACCTTTCTGGCTTTTTTACAGCTTGGCTTCGCTGCCTTTTCTTGCTACTCTTTATGGCATTTACTAAATATTTATTTACTATTATCAGAGTTAATGACTACTCACACTCATTTAATTATATACTTCTCGGCGCAATTGAATATTTATTAGTATTTTTCAATTAATATTAATGTTTGGTGAGTGTATTCTAGTTCATAAAAGAATGAAGTTCTCTATTAATCAAAAACTCGTGAATTGAAATCTGATTCATAAAAGAACGAAGTCTTATTTATTGTTATGTGTATTTAAAATATTAATATAGTTATTATTTAATTTAAATAGTTATTAATACAAAATAATTATCTGTCTAATTGAAGTGTGAAGATTTTTTCACATACTCAATATTAAAATTTAATAGAAAAAAAATATATTATATAATTAAATTTGATATCATTACATTAAAAAACATAATAAAACATAGAAAATATTTGTCCCAAATAATATAGAAAAAATAAATATTTTTGTTGTAATATTTCTCAACTTATAAAAGTAATGAAACAAACAACAAAATCAAAGTAATTTTAATATTTAAAAAATAAAAACCTAATTTATAGTAAATTAGGAATAAATAAGTGATTTAGTAAACAAAAGTGGATACAAATTTTAACAATATTAGAAATACTTTTATTATGTTATTATTACAAATAATATTTATTTTCCATTATTGGAAATTCTTAAATTAAATTAAATTATTATTATAAATAAAAAAATTAAATTAAGTTTTTAGGTTTAATTACCATATTAGTTCCTCTATTTTGTTCGACTCACGATATTGATCCTCTTATTTTAAGCTTAAACAGATTTGTTCCCTTTATTTTAAATTTAAATCATTTTAGTTTCCCTCTCGTAATTTTTCACTTAAAATTAACGATATTTTCATTTTTTAAAATAACAAATTACTTATAAAATATGATAAATGATTATATATAAACTTATTATTAAAGTTTATAGATAAAAATATAATTTTAAAAACGAATAATCTCATTGATTTTTTATGATAAAACACGAAAGGGTGACTAAAACTGTTTAAATTTAAAATAAGATGACCAAAATTGTTTAATTTTAAAATAAAGGATCAATTTCGTAAATCAGATAAAATAGAGAGACCAAAATTATAATTTAACAAATTATTACTATAAATAAAGAAATCAAATTAAATTATTACTATACATAAATAAAGTAATATTAAAATTTTAATTTATAATAAAAACATAATAATTTATCAAAATAAACAGGATTAGTACTTATAATTTGGGATACTTTTCATTTCATGTATAAGGTTATTGAAAAATGTAGAACAACTGTGATTAATTAAATTAGTCCTTATAATTTTAAAATATGTAATTTTTCGCATAAATAATATTAATTAGTCCTTATATTATACTATAATATAATTAACTATAAATAATCATGTAAGTGTATTTTGGTTTATAAACAGGAAATATCTTGTGGTTGATCAGAATCTTGAGAGTGGTCGGAGGATGATCTTCAGTCGGGCAGAGGAGAGAGGGGGTTGTGCCTGCAAGGTACTCCAACGATCAAATAAGAGCAGGAGTAAGAAGGTACTAGCAAAATATCAGGTTGTGAGTAGTAAGTATGTGATACATGGCCCTCACAGGTGTGAGGGTTTATATACTTCCCCTGGCGCGTGGTCATTGGTTCCTAATTTCCCGCCTAGATATGTGAGTCCGGAAAATCAGGTAACTGCCAGGACTTGGTCAAACCGGGCAGATGTGCTCGTAACTAGCCGTTGGTTTTGGGAAGGAGGTTGATTGTGGGCATCTCTTTGGCCGGTCCCTGGTGGTCTGCACGACGCTGAAGTCGGGCAGACTGAGAGGATGCTCGACGGGCATCTTGGATCAGAGTCGGATCAAGAGGGCAAGAGGGTGGTCACGGTCGGTGGGTGGCACCCATGAGGTGTCTTAGACTGGGCCCACTCAAGCTTTCGGGCTAGTCTAGAACAGTAGCCCCCAAGTCGTTGCTTCTGGGCACATGAGTGAAGACTTTGATGTCTTCTCGGAGGACAGGGAAATGAGTGTTTTCCCGTTGTACTTCTTTGACGGGGAGGCGAAACGCTTACCGTTGGGACCGTTGAATTTGGAGAGGTAGCGTGTTTTGAGAAACATGTCGATCGAGCAGCACAAATGATGGCCTAGGGCTAGGGTGTCATGATGACGACCTTGGGGTTCCCAAGGCGCGTGTTTTGTACGCGCGGGTTGTTTCATCTATAAATACGAGAGGAACAAGGCAATTAGTATTTTTCGCTTTCTCCTTCAACTGCTCGTATTAGCTTGACATTCGACCACCAGCATTTGCTCAGTTTCTTCGTTCGCGGTCATCCAACTCTGTCTCTTCTTCTTCTCTCGGTGAGTTTCCGTTCATTCATTGTTGCATGTTTTAGCGCTTTCATTTTTTACTTCTTAGATATCCATGTCGTTAGAATTTAAGGTTCTGTTAGGGAGGAGATCGTTAGAGACCCTATGAGGCAGACTTTGTTCTTGGGGCGCATGGCTGTCGGAGCCACCGTGGAGCTCTCTCGGGGGTCTGGCATTGTGCTATAGGTGATTCGTTTAGGGTTTGAGTTTTTCTGCAACTTGTGCCTGTTAGAGTACCTCAGTGGACTTCTGGGCTTTTTCTGCGTTTTGTGCCCGGCAGCGTACCTCAGTGAGGGTTCTGGTCGGGGATAGAATCCTTGTCTCCAAGCGCCCTTTCACATGTTTAGTGGTGGAAGGGTTATTCTGGCATTGATGTCGAGCTCACCCTTTTCCTCTGTTTTTCAGGTGCTATGATTGACGATGCACATGTTTTCATTTCGAGCGAGTCTACGGAATCCTCCAGGAGCTCCTCGAGCGAGACTAGTGGTAGCTCGTCGAGCATATTAGAAGTCTTTGGGGTGCAGCAAAACCAGATGGATCAACAGACGGGGGACCCCGACATGGGGGCGACCTCTTTGGCTCGGGGTGGCCTGTTTCCTCCTCGAGATGATGAGGATCCTCGAGATTGGATAGCTAAAGACCCTTGGGAGTGGCAGTCATATTTTTATGAGCACGGGGAAGACGTTTTCACCGATGTTTACGTCCACGAGGAGGGAGCCCGGGAGGAGTGGTCATTGTATATCCCCGGGAAAGACAGCAGGATCTGCTCAAGATACGACATGAGGCAGATTCCTATGTACGATATAGTTTTCTGGGATATGGGCCTCCACCTTCCTTTTTCTTACTTTGAAGTGGTCGTTTTCTGGCATCTGCACGTGGCTCCCTCTCAGTTGCACCCGAACAAGATTGCATTCGTGCGGGCGTTCCAGATAGTGTGCGACTATCTAAAGATTGGGGCCACGATCCCGTTGTTCTTATATTATTTTCATATCCAAAAGAGCCGGACTGACGGGCACTGAGGATGGGTATCCCTCAAACAGGGCAACGGGAAGTTGTCCAAGGCGTACTTAGAGTCAGTGCGCCATTTTAAGGATAAGTACATTTTGATGCAGCCCATGTCGACAAAGGCGTTGCTGAACGTTTTTAGGAGTTGGCCGTCTCTCAACGAGGACGGGTCTCCTTGTAGTAACGAGCTGGGGGAGCCTACCGCGACGCTGGTCGCCAAGTTCTCGTTCCAATGGACCAGCAGACATTTTGAGAAGGAGTTGGGCTCCTATGTCTGGAGAGAGGGGGAGCTCGGGGATGATGACCTGTCGAGCTTCACCACTTTGACCTCGTTTGTAGCTCGAATTCCTCTGGTCCAGCGATTCGGTCGAGGAGGTAGGCCAGTGATGGATAGAAACGGGGAGCTCGTGTTCGATCCGGGTCTCATAAACGTCCGGGAGCTCCTTGGGAGCGAGGATCCCGTTAGATATCTGGGTACAAATTTTCTTTTTCCAGTATGTGATCGTCGTTTGTTTGACCAGTTGTTTTTCTGACTCTTATTTTTTCTTTGTTTTACAGAAAATATGAATCCTTCTCAAGAACGTCTGGCCAAGACACTCGCTGCTCGGGCGAGAAAAGCCAAGAAGGATGCCCAGACTAGCGCGGGGCCAGTTCCTGCTCCAGGATCAAGTGGGTCGTTCTCGACCCCGTCCACAGCTGCTTTATCTTCATCTGCTGTTTCCTCGAAGGCGGAGAGACCTCGACTTGAGGGGAGCGTTGACCTTACCGGAGAGACCGGAAAAAGGGCTTATGATCTGCCTCCTTGCTGGCTGGAGAGGTCTTTTTTCGAGAGTGGGGCACTTCGTCTTCCCAGGTCCGAATCTCTCGTTCTCGAGGGAACGAGTCATCCAGAAAAGAGGGCGACGCTGGCCCAAGACGTGGGTGGCTTGATGCGGATATTGGAGATGGTCGTGGCGTATACCGAGGGGAGCTCATCCCAGGAGATGGAAATCAAGAACCTTCGAGCCAAGTTGGTGGTGACCGAGAAGGCCTTGGTTGATAAAGACAAAGCCCTAAAGCTGGCTGAGGCAGAGTCGGGGAAGTTGGCCGAGGAGCGCAACGCTTTCATGCTCAAGAGTGAGAGTATTGAAGGAAAGGTGGCGGCCTTGAATGTCGAGTTAGCGCCGCTGAGGACGAGCCAGAGGACACCAAGGACCTGAAGACTCGGGCCGAGCTAGTAGCCCGTTTCCAGCTTGCAGTGGACGATGCTCAGGCTGCTTTCGAGGGGAGCTTCGACAATGCGGTGAATCAGATATGTGTGTTGAATCCCTGCGTTGAGCTCAACACTTCGGGTATGGGGGTCAACTACTATGTGGCTGACGGATAGGTTCTGGTTCCTGACTACCCGAGGGATGCCATTGATCAACCGGTTGGGGATCCTTCTCGACTATCGCCTATCGTCGAAGGAGAAACAGAGGGATGATCGTTTATTTGTTTTGGCCCGCGTTCCGTTTTTTTGTAATATTTGTTGTTTCCCAAGATATTGCCCGTTTATGTAATATTCACACAATTTTGGCCCCAGTGGTCGCTTCATTTATTTTCCTACCATTGGTCGTTTCTCTTTGAATATTTAATGTGTTATTTGTATGATTGTTGACAAGTTATCTCGATTAGGACTCTCGTATTTTGCTGAGTTTATATCGGGGATATGCTCGTTTTGTATGTTCGTCGGTGCAGGGAAATCGATCAAACTGCCAGGGAAAATGTCGGGCGAGAGTCGGAATCCAAGTCTCGTTTTTAAGGGACCCGAGTTCGGCGGCGTGAGCTTCCCGTTGCGAGTCGGGTGTTCTACCATCGTGGCAAAAAGACTGTGGAGCTCTGTTGAGTTATCCACGTTGGGCTAAGGGTACGTTCGTCAACAGAGCGGAACCTTGCCCCTTCTACATACTTTGGGTGCTACGCTTGTGCCTAGGCACACATACGTGGTCAGGTTCAGGCGGGTCTGTCTTGTCAACCGAACCTGCCGACAGCTCAGTGTTTTCAACTGTAGTATTGTTTTAGCTTTTTAGCGTCCCATGATCGAACGAGTTGTTCCCCTTGTAAATTTTCTAAGTAATACGCTATGGTTCCCGTTTTGGCGTAGACGCGATAAGGACCTTCCCAGTTCACTGCGAGCTTGCTCTCACGAGATTCTTTGTGATTTCTCTTTAGGACAAGGTTGCCGACCTCGAACTCTCGACGTATCACCTTGGCGTTGTAGCACATGGCTATTTTTTGTTTGAGCGAGGCCTCTCGCAGAGCCGCACCCATTCTGATTTCTTCCACCAGGTCGAGCTCTTCTCTGAGGGAGACATTGTTCATCTCCTCGTCGAGAGGTGCCTCGGTTCGTCTAGAAGGTTCCCCGATTTCTACAGGGATAACGGCCTCTGTCCCGTATGCTTGTCGAAAGGGAGATTCCCCAGTAGACGAGTGAGTAGTCGTTCGATACGCCCAGAGCATGCTATGTAGCTCCTCGACCCATCGCTTCTTGGTTTCATCCAACCTTCGCTTGAGGCCTCTGAGTATCACCCTGTTGGCAGCCTCGGCCTGGTCGTTGGTCTGGGGGTGCTCGACGGAGGCGAAATGTTGGGTCATGCCAAGTTTTGTGACGAATTCGTGGAAGGTGTGATTCGTGAACTAGGTTCCATTGTCGGTGACTATCGCTCATGAGATGACAAAACGAGCCAAGATATTTCTTTTGTAGAAGCGAAGGACGTTCTGGGAAGTCATTTTGGCCAGGGCTTCGGCTTCTATCCACTTGGTGAAGTAGTCGACTGCTACTATCAAATATTTGTTCTGATTGGTTCCGACCATGAATGGGCCGAGGAGGTCTAGTCCCCACCAGGTGAAAGGCCAGGGAGAGGAGAGGGATTTGAGCTCGCTAGGAGGAGCTAAATGCATGTCCCCGTATCTTTGGCATTTATCGCATTTCTTCATGTGTTCTCTTGCATTGTGCTGCATGGTGGACCAGTAGTATTCCCCTTGCAAGGCTTTCCTCGCGAGGGATCTTCCGCCCAGATGCTGACTACCGATACCCTCATGGATTTCGAGCAGTATGCGTTCCGATGCGCTTCGATCGACACACTTGAGGAGTGGGATGGAAAATTCTCTTCTGTAGAGTTTGCCCTCAACCAATACGTATGAGCAGGCCCTTTGTCTGACGACGATCGACTATTTCGGGTCATTAGGGAGTTTTCCTTTAGTGAGGTAATCGTGTACGGGGGTCATCCAGCAATCGCTGTCCCCGATGGAAAATACTCCTAGGGTGGAAGACGGTTTCTGGGTGCTCGACCGATGGAGTATCTCTTGTATTACAGATTTATTTCCTCCCTTCTTCTTTGTGCTCTCCAATTTGGATAAAACGTCTGCGCATGCATTGTGCTTGCGAGGAACGTGTTGAACATCCACAGGCTTGAATTTCTTCTTCGCCTCCTGGACCAGGGCCCAATGTGGATTGAAACTTTACATCATGAAAACTTATTCCAACAAAAGATGCCATGGGATAGCCTTCCTGGAGAATCAAGAAGTCAACATTATAGAAAGAGGTCAAACCCATGGGGATTTTAAATCAAACCCAGCACTTGGTGGGTGAAAACCCAAAGGGTTGACAACTGTCTCGACACTTCTTAGAAAATATACCGCCCTGGTCTAGTTGCCTGGGAAATAAATACCAACAATAATGCCAATACTGTAGAAAGAGCGACATCTCAGCACACCAATGGAATAAAACCTTTCATCGTATGAGGGAGGACTTCGCTGGGGAATCTGGGACAGAGGCTTCTGACCATGCAAACCCAAAATTAAAAGTGAACCAAGACTTGACTGGGGATAATGGGGATCACAAACCCAATACTGCACCTTACACCAATTGGTATCGTCTTTAACTACCTGAGAAACATACAAAGATCATGCGCATACCAGCACAATGACCTGAGAGAACCTTCATGAGAGAAATAAAACTTCTCAAAATAACCGGAGTTTGTTCATTCCTGGGATCACCATTTTTGTTGTCATTGTTTCATCACAAATCTCAAAGTAAAAGTAAATTGTAAAAATCTCTTTTTTTTGAAAAATCAATTTTGTTTTTTAATCTTTTTGCTTTGAAATTTATTATTAGTAATAAATGGAGTCTTTGCAAGCTAAATAAAATAAGAACACAAAGAATTGGGTAAAAGCTCGAATTTCATTAATAGAATGGTAGTCTGCGAATGACGAGACTCCATGGATGATTACAAAGTTTGGGAAATGGTAATACATAATGGAAAAGATACATTGAGATACAATGACCACTATCCCCCCTAGCAACTTTTGAAATCCTGAGCAGCAGCTTTTGTTGAAGTATGGTGAGGATCCGAGAAGATTGTTGCTTCAACGATCAAGTCTTGTCTGACGTAGTTACTTGCCAAGAAAATCCCTAACTTTTTCCTAAGCTGCCCTTGCGGGTTTTCAACTTAGCGGGAAATTTATTCTGTTTATGTCTCTAATTTTTGCCTAGACCGCCCTTTCGGGTTTTCGGCTTACCGAGACGCTCCTTTTTGCTTAAGCCGCCCTTTCGGGTTTTCAACTTAGCGAGCTGTTCTTTTATTTCTTTAGGTGAAGTATTTCTTGACTGCGTCAGCATTCATGGGACGTGGGAACTCCTCACCATCCATAGTTTCAAGAATTAATGCACCACCAGAGAAGACTTTCTTGACAACATACGGGCCATTCATAGCTTAGGCAAAAGTTAGGGATTTTCTTGGCAAGTAACTACGTCAGACAAGACTTGATCGTTGAAGCAACAATCTTCTCGGATCCTCACCATACTTCAACAAAAGCTGCTACTCAGGATTTCAAAAGTTGATAGGGAGGATAGTGGTCATTGTATCTCAATGTATCTTTTCCATTATGTATTACCATTTCCCAAACTTTGTAATCATCCATGGAGTCTCGCCATTCGCAGACTACAATTTATTAATGAAATTCGAGCTTTTACCCAATTTTTTGTGTTCTTATTTTATTTAGCTTGCAAAGACTCCATTTATTACTGATAATAACTTTCAAAGCAAAAGGATTAAAAAACAAAATTGATTTTTTAAAAAAGAAAGAGATTTTTACAATTTACTTTTACTTTGAGATTTGTGATGAAACAATGACAACAAAAATGGTGATCCCGGGAATGAACAAACTCCGGTTGTTTTGAGAAGTTTTATTTCCCTCATGAAGGTTCTCTCAGGTCATTTTGCTGGTATGTGCATGATCTTTGTATGTTTCTCAGGTAGTTAAAGACGATACCAATTGGTGTAAGGTGCAGTATTGGGTTTGTGATCCCCATTATCCCCAGTCAAGTCTTGGTTCACTTTTAATTTTGGGTTTACATGGTCAGAAGCCTCTGTCCCAGATTCCCCAGCGAAGTCTTCTCTCATACGATGAAAGATTTTATTCCCTTGGTGTGCTGAGATGTCACTCTTTCTACAGTATTGACGTTATTGCTGAGATGTCACCCTTTGGGTTTTCACCCACCAAGTGCTGGGTTTGATTTAAAATCCCTATGAATTTAACCTCTTTCTATAATGTTGACTTCTTGATTCCCCAGGATTGTTGGAATAAATTTTCATGATGTAAAGTTTCAATTCGCATCTTTTGTTGGACAAAGTGGTGCATATGCACTTACAGAGGAAAGAAATCAATTTTACTTTTTCAAATCCAATTCCTCTTCTCTCTCATTTGTAGGCTTCTATTTCCTCTTCTCAATTTTCCAATTTCCCTTTCAATTTTCATCTCAAAAAACCTTCTTCCCAGAAAATCGTGAGTGGAGGAGAGTGCAACGCAGAGAGATGATGGTGGACCTCACAGTTGTGTGAAGCTCGCAAACAGACTCGTCAGGAGTGGGGTGCTAGCAGTTGTCATGGTGGTAACGTCGAAAGCGGTGCAGATCGGTGTTGGTTCGATTTTGGGGCTATGCTGAACAAAAGGCTGCGTAGCGCGGCCGACGTTGAGGGGGTGAAGATCAGGCTTGAGGAGAATTGAAGCTGGAAGCGGAAGAATCGCGTCCACTGTTTGCAGTGTCGGGGAGAGGTTATGTGCGGAGCGGTAGTGTTTTGCGGATCTGCAGTCAGAGTTGATTGAAGCGATGTCGTTGGAGATTGCCTCTCTTTTTCTTGTATTATTCTTTCTGCAAAACAAAACAAACAGAACATTAATAGTGCTATTTTTTTAATTTTATACCTTGAGGATTGCTCATTGAATCATGAAATTGCAGGTTATTGTTTGTAATTTGAACATGGTTTTTGATGAAAATTTGTGTCATAGATTTGTGATAGTGATAACTGTTGAAGAAGATCGTTTCTATTTCTAGATTCTTTTTAATTCACTATTGGTCGTCTTCTTCAGTAAAGAGACATTGTGTTGTTGTTCCGCATATGACTATTGTTTTTGAAATTGTCAGAAAAGTTAGTAATAAATTAATAAAAGATATTAGTAAAAGAAACTAGTAAAAGTTTGGATGAAACAATTAGATTGATAAAAATAGTAATATAGATTTAGAAAGAAAAATAAAATAAGATAGTTACTTATAAAATTGTGAATGGAATTGGTCGTAGTAATAACTATATATTAATTATCATATGGTGTAAAATCAAATTAATTAAAAAAATGAAAACAAGAGTGTGTGAAAAATAGAAAATCGTGGAGATCGTTAATACACAAATATAATTTTTAAATAAAAAATAATCATCAGAAATCATCATCATTGAGTTAAAATAATAAACAAATTAGAAAAATAAAATTATAAAAGATGGAGGCCTCATATAAAATTCATTGGCCAAAAATAGTTTGAAAGTAGCATAGTAAAAAATAAAGTTGAAAAAGAAATTGTAAGTGTGTGTGAAATTGCAAGTTGCGAGAGATTGTGTGTATGTGTGAAATTGTAGAATCCGTGGGTGAATCGTGGATCATTGATGAATTGTGGATAAAAAATTAGGATAACAATGAATCATATTTATAGAGTTAAATTAGATCAAAAGAACTTAGCAAGTAAGTTATCCAAAATGTATGAAAAGTCCAAAGCCTAATTTCCAAAAAAATAAAGAAAATTAGTAACAAAAAGAAAAAATAGAAAAAATATTAAAAAGTGTAGCATAAGAGATTCAAACCCGCAATCTCATACTTACAAACTTCATTCTTTACCAATTATGCTAACTTATTTATTCAAAATAAAAATATTTTTGAAAGCATATAAAGGTCAAGCAAATATTTATTTATTCAAAAATACAAATGATCTGAAATAAATCATTATATTTTAAATAGGTTTGGAAGCGAATATTATAAAACCAATGTTGAAAATATTTTTGACCGTAGAAATAAAGGGCGGTCAAATTTGATGTATGACAAAAGGCTCACTCTATTCGACCCGAATATAAAAAATATTCATATGCGATGAGAAAGTACATAATCTATGATCTCCAACTTTACTATAGTCATCTTGAATCCTGAACTAACTTGGGTGTTGGAGGACTAACAATGCCGGTCTATCCCGCAGTCATAAAAGAGATCGGAGCCACTGTTCAAAATCATTTTATTAATTAAAGTTATTAAGTCTCTTAAAAAAAATTTAGAGCCAAAACTAAAGTTAATTTAATAATTATCAATATAAATTTATTTTAATTTTAATTTAAATAATATTAATCCACTAACTCCATTATCTCTCTTTATCATTTTTAATTAATTACGATATTATTTAGTTTTAATTAAAATAGTCATTAAAATTCTTAATAACGGTTGGAGTAAAAAAAATTGGTTAATTTTTGTAACTTCTTTTTCATTTATTTATTTATTATTAAATTTGAAACTTCCCCAATTAATAAAATTAATTGTCACTTTTTCATAAAATTTGTTAATCTTTTATTTTATTTTAAATTATTTAATTTTATTAAAAAATAATAAAACTTTATTTATTTTTTACTAAAAATAATATTCATTCATTCAAATTGATAGAATACATCAAATAATACTGTAACATCCCTATATTTATATTGCTAAGTATGAGAATATATATGTATTAAGAGAGACTAAGTGGAGTAGTTAGAACCAAAAAGAATTAGTTGATATTGAACTAAGTGGTATCTTGGTAAATATGGCTTAGTTGAGGAACATTTTGATCAATGAACAATCTTGCATGTCATCATAAGGCATTGTTTGGTAAATACAATTACAAATCAGAATTTGTAGATAGTGGATATATATATATATATATATATATATATATATATATATATATATATATATATATATATATATATATATATATATATATATATATATATATAGATAGATAGATAGATAGATAGATAGATAGATAGATAGATAGATAGATAGATAGATAGAGAGAGAGAGAGAGAGAGAGAGAGAGAGAGAGAGAGAGAGAGAGAGAGAGAGAGAGAGAGAGAGAGAGAGAGAGAGAGAGAGAGAAACTTATGTTCATGTCCAAACTTCCATTTTCGCACCTAAGGGACAACCTTCATATAATAGGTCAGAATTTCTTACTTATAACTCCAATTTGAGAAATTCTTGAAGTTCTGGAATCTACACAAAATTTCCTTCATTTTGATATTTAATTTTGTGTTAGAAAGATTTATATTGAAAGAGGAAAATGCATTTAAAGTTGGGGCTTTCTTACTGAAATGAAAAATATGGGGTTACGAGATTGATGATGATGAAGGTGGAGTTTGTTAAATTATAATTCATAGTGGCGAAAATATTAGATTTGTTTTAGGTTTAAATAAATTTGATTTAAGTATAGAATATATTAGATTTGATTCAGTAACAAAATAAATATTTTGGGCTTTGGGCTTTGGGTGCAAGCTTAGTTATAAATAGAGGGAGTAATCCCTATTTTTTGTAAGCAAGTCAAGCAAGTCATTCACAGTATTTTGCAGTTGCAAAGTGAATAAGAATGTTTTCACAGTTTGTGAGCAGAGAGAAACTCTGCAGAAATTATTTGTCTTGTCTTCTTTCTTTTCGTTCTCATAATTCATTGTCATTGAGGAGAAATTCATCATAGATATTCAATGAGTTTCCAACATCTGATATCAAGAGCTTTGTTTCGATTTGAGGGAAGTGTCAATCAAGAACGATTGAAGAATTCACGATGGAAAATTATGGGAATGCAAATTCTCCAGAAACTCTACCAATTCTAAAAATAGACAACTATGAGAATTTATGCAAACAAATGAAAGTCTTATTCAGGTGTCAAGGTCTTTGGGACCTTGTAAAAGATGAAGTCTGTTGTACCCCAAAATTTGCCCTCTCATATTCTTCAAAATTTGCCAAGTCAAAGCTTCAAAAAGTCCCCAAGGGTTGCATAGTTCAAAGGCCTCTAAACAGTCAAAATTAGGGTTTTGGTTCTAAAAAAGAAAAAGAAGTTTCCAAGGGTCCAATCAAGTCCCACATGCCTATAAACATGGTCAAGCATCCTCATACCAAGTTTCAAGACTTACAGCACAAAATTGCACAGTCAAAAACCCTAATTGCACTACAGTCAACTGTAGGGGCAAAATGGTTATTTGACAGTCAAAAGTCCAAATTTTTGGTAAACATCTCATTTTGAAGCCACAAACATCATTTGATCAATGCTTGATCATGATTCTCAAAGCCTGGCTCAAAAATCATCAAGATGCAAAAGTTTCCATATTTGGACAGTTGAAAAAGTCAACTGTAACTTGACCAAGGCATAACTTTCACATGGATTATCAGAAAAATTCCATCCAAAGCTCATTTTGAAGAGAATGATATTTCCTACAACTCCTCTTCACACTTCAAGTCCAAGAAATGCTCTCACAAAAAGTTATCAATTTCAACATTATAGGTCATTTTCAAAAGTCAACAAAAAGGGACTTTAAGTCAAAGGCCATAACTTGAGATTGGTAAATAAAAATGACATGGGACAAAAGAAATTGGTTAGAGGACTCAAAGACCTTTCCAAAATGTCCAAGAACATGAGCAAAGCTTACAAATTGAGCAAGTTGTGCCTTGTGGAAGTTGGGAAATTTTTGGATATTTTGAAAAGTCAACATTGCTTCAAATGACCTAAAAATGCTAATGGGCCTCTTTTTCTTCCACAATTCATCATCCAAGGCATGTGCACGACCATGTGGCCCCAAGGGAAGTTTTTTATCATTTTTATTTATTTATTTGGATTTTTTATTATTAATAATTCATTTAATTAATTAAAATACATGAAAAATACCAAACCAATGCAATCAAATCTTTTTGTGCATGGAATAGGTTTAAAATTTCGTGCATGATCATATATGGAAGGAATTGAAGTGATTGGCCATGATTTGTACCAAATAGGCATGAAAAAATATTTGAAAAGATCCTTAAGAATCAAATCTTGAAAATCATGAATGCAAAGGTTTTGATTTGTTTTCTTTAACCTAAATCATTCATACATATATATGCAAGCTAACCCTACTCCTCAGAATCTCCCAGCTGCGCCAGAAATCCCTAAGCAAACTTGAAATTTTTCAAGAAAAGTCCAATACTGAAAACCAAGTTCTAGGTCGATTCAAGCAAAGAGACTTGTTCCATCACCTTCCTGAGGCTTCAAGGAAGGTTTTCAAATCAAAACCATCCATCCTAACATCAAGAAACGTGAGAACGATGGTGTCCTGTACAGAGAATTTTTCACATTCTTGCATCACGATTCATGCATCTTTCATAATTTTTGATGTTTGATTTATGTTCAGTATTTAATTCTAAAGCTAACTGTGTGGTTTGATTAAGTTTTCGTGCCAAAATAGAAGATTCACCATTGATACAGGCTAGGGTTTTTCGAGCTTTGAATTGGGCGTTTCTTAACGCTGTAAAATTGGATCACCATGATACCATGACCATACTCAGCGTGCTTGGACGAAAAGAACAGAACCCTCGCGCCTAATTTATACTCAAAGATGGCTTAATCGCTATTATTGGATATGGCTTATTTTGGGGGGGTTCAAAACCCCCGCTAACCATCTTCTATTTTCAGGAAATAAACAAGCCAAGGAAGAAGAAGGGTATGTGGCCAGCGTTGGTTGGTTCGCTCAAATTTTCGCGCGGAAAAAAAGCATTAACGTTTGTTTATTTTATTATGTTTATTGATTGTATAAAATACAAAGAAGTAAAGCAGCGCGTTTGGCAAGGCATAACATTGGTATTCATCAAGACCTGGGTTCGAGCCCCAGGTCCCTCACCCTTTCCATATTATTTTTCAATTAATACTTATGTGTAGTTTCAGTGCTAGCGTCCACCATACATCCTCAAATCCAGCTAGCCACTTGGCCAATAATACCAATCCAAGGGGCCAGATCTGAAGACCATGGTGAACCACAGTTAACACATTTACACGCATCCTGAAAAGTCCACAAGGCCAGGGACAATT